GACTTTAAAAAAACTGAAAAAAATTGAAGTTTTTTTTTTTGTAAAAACTGAATTTTCGTAAAAACTGAAAAAAAGAAGAAGACTTTACTAAATTAGGACTACTGGTGCATTAGTTTAAAAAAGCGAAAATATTTTGTAAAATATTTTTTTTAAGTTTTACAAAAAGAATAATAATTATTTTAATTCAGCATTGACCTAACGCTCAAAGGGCATAAGTGAACAAAAAAGGTGGATGGAGGAGTATTTTTAGCCCAATAGGTGGATGAAGGGTATTTTTAAACCTTTTCCAATAGTTTAGGGGCATTTTGAACCCTTTTCCGTTTATTCTATTATTACTTACCTATTTCCTAAGTGCATCCACTACAAGTTCATTTTTTTTCTTTGATAAATCAAGTTTCATTTCGTTAACATCCCACCTAATTGGTGTCAAAAGCTATTTTCAACGTGTGAGAGCTAAGTTGCTCGACACGGGCGCGGGTGTCCTGGGTGCGGATCTAGAGGTCGGATCCTTCGAGATGTAAATTCTAAGATTCAGGGCTACGGATCCTAGTATGAATATGGGTGCAAGGATCCGGCTAAAAATAATTCAAAGAAATAAAATATATAAATATCTCTAAATATGATACATTTGATTAAATTATCTTTAATATGGCAAATAATGGAAGATATTCTTGCACTGTTGATGTATAATTGGAATTTTTTATAAGTGGTAAGCATAAAAAATGTATTCTAACTTATGATTTTATCTTATGGTTAGTTAGGTATTTTGAGGTGGTTGAAGACAATGAAGACGCAAAACAAAGTGCAAACTAGTGTACTGACGTCTTTGATTGTCATCAGAAATATAATGATACAAAAGGTTATGATGAAGGCATGAAGAATATTAAGAGATGTCTTGAGCATCATCTGCATCTAGGAAGACAACTTTGTATTTAAGTTAACGTGTTGACAATTAGTGTTATTTTGGATTTGGTGAATTCTAGACCTAGATTGTGACTGCTATTGTTTAGTATTTGGTGATGGATTTTAGACTTATTAAATTTTATGTGCTTTGGTTGTGCATTGTGACTCTTTATTTCTCATAATCAAGTTTGGGTATTTACATTTTATTTATGTTGTTTGGTTTAGTAGTCTGCCACGGTGTATTTCTGTTGGATATTTAGCGTGATTGTATGGTGTTTTTGCACAAAAAGCTTGTGCTAATGCTTGAGCTTTAATTTCAGCAAATTGGTACATATTTGACACTTAGGTAATCAAAAATTGTTTGATCAGTTTCGTGGAGAATCTGAATCAATACATAAGTATTGGAATCAATTCTGACTCAATCTATTTATTGTGTTAATTACTTTCCGATCGTCAGGCCCAAACCAAGTATAGCCTATTTTTGAAGCAGAAAATAGCCCAGCATACCAAGCCCATACCGAACAAACTATACACCGAACCGACCACCCACCCCTAATTACATGTAATTTCGTCGCACAAGTTAACTTTAAGTAGATGTTTTACACATTTTGCTTACATGTCAATTTGAATTTCCCATCAGCTTGCATCTGGTGAGATTTCTTCTATCATGGCTTGGGATCTTGACAAAGAGCAGCTTGTAAATACTACTCCAACATCCTCGGATTACAGCATCTCAGCATTGGTGAGTTTTTTCACATTGCTCTGAGAGTTTATAGTATTAATTTATGTGTTCATTTACTAGAAAACCGTTTAGCAATGTTTAAGTATTTGCTTTCTATCTTGTGCTCGGTTTTTGAGAAATGAATAAAGACGATTTTAAAATTTGAGCAAACTGCTAAAGAACCATGAAATATCGATGAATGAAATGGTCTCCGAAGAACACCCCTCATTCCTCAACGCATACACATGCGCGCACGTAAACATGTACATATGTATTTTTTCTTATAAGGCATGTACATATGTATATATGAACATGTACTCCTTGGAACCCATAATAAGCTCTTATGTATATTTAACTTCAAAACAAATAATGTCATGCTCTGCGTTCATATAGAATCAATGAAGATTAATCAATTATTGAAGGTGGTATAAACCACTCATCTACGAAGTGTATATTCACCTACCTGAACCTATTTTCCACCACCTGCTTACTAGTCATGATGTATCTGTAAGGCTTGCATTGGGTGGAGGAGGAGGTAACATATATATTTGTTAAATAGGCTGGCCTGTCTCTTTTGGTAGTGCTAGTTCTTGGATCTCTTGTTCGTCTTTGCTTTATCCCCTTTTTCCGCTATCCTCAGGTTCTGTGCTATAACATGTAGTGTTTTATTGGCATTTTAAACAATTTTATAACGTCTATATGTTACTCCCTCCGTTTCATATTAAATGAGGTACTTTCCTTTTTAGTCTGTTCCAAAACAAATGACACATTTCTAAATTTAGAAATAATTCAACTTTAAACTCTTCATTTTACCCTTTTTGCCCTTAATGAGAAGCTTTTATAGCCACACAAATGGCATGACCCCACAAACCTTTTACCCCTTAAGCTTTTAAGACCACAAGTTTCAAAAGTCTTCTTCTTTTTTCTTAAACTCCGTGCCGAGTCAAACTACCTCATCTAATATGAAACGGAGGGAGTACATGTTTTTGCTGGATGCTCTAACCATGCCACTTATTTTTGTGATGACATCTATTCTTTTTCATGCCTTATGCAGTCTGCTTCTCAAGTTCATGCGGGTCAATTTGTTGCTGGCTTTGTGGATGGATCTGTCAAACTATTCGATATTCGAATGCCAGAAATGTAAGATGTAGTACTAGTAATTCATGAGCATATATATGTTTGCGCGCACACTTTTTCTTGTATATGGATCTCAAGTACATTAGTCGAATTGGTGGTGTGGACTTGCATTAACTTAGACCACAAGTCTTCTGTTTTTTGAGTGGGGTTAGGGTGTAGGAATCACGTCTCCTGGAGTTCGTGAGTTATAAATATCAGGATAATAATGTAGTCTTTGGCATTATGAGGTGAGGACAAATTCGGACCTCAAAGATGGGTATCCGTTCTGCATGGTTTCTCTCAGAATGCATACATTAGGCACTATCCACACATGCATGTAATTTTTTGATGCATAAAAAACATCAATATTCAGTGGTTTTTGACTGTTTAATTTGTGTTTGTTTAGGCTTGTTTGTGCAACACGACCTCACCCCGAAGTGGAAAGAGTTGTTGGGGTTGGCTTTCAACCTGGACTTCAACCAGCGAAGGTGAATATCATTAACCTCTTCATATCTGGCCTGTCAACTTGTCTGCTACTGGTTTGTCAGTAGACCATCTTTAAAGAAAAATGTTGTCACACATACACACTCTCTCTGTCTCTCTATTTCTCTCTGTGTTTAATATCACTTGTTCCAACAATTACTTCTACTTGTGACTAAGTTTTTTTCACACAAAAGTTCTCCTATATTATCGAAGCAAATGAGAAGTCATGAACTTTCTCTTGTTTCTTCTCAGGTTGTCAGTGCATCTCAGGCTGGTGATATTCAGTTCCTTGATATGAGAAATCTCAAGGAGGCATACTTGACCATTTATGCTCACAGGGGATCACTTACATCTCTGGCGGTCCATCGTCATGCACCCCTTTTAGCGAGTGGTTCATCTAAGCAACTTATCAAAGTGTTCAACCTGGAGGGTGAGCAGTTAGGCACCATTAGGTATTTGTCCACCTTTATGGCTCAGAAGATAGGATCTGTAAATTGTCTTACCTTCCACCCCTATCAAATGCTGCTTGCTGCTGGTGCAGCAGATGCCTGTGTTACTATCTATGCTGATGAGGTCCCCCCACCATGATAACAACTTCATAGCTTCGTCTACAAACCTTGAGAGAGAGACAAGATTTTCAGACTTATGGTGTTCCTTTAAGGTGGTCAGTGGTGGATGCATTGTTGACATCTTCTGGTCCCTTGTCGACCTCTCTGAAATACTGATTGACTCACTGAGATTGCAGTTGACATCTTCTGGTCAGTTGCTGTCAACCTCTCTCAAATACGGATTGGCTCACTGAGGTTGCATGCTACTTATTTATTGAGAATTTGAGAGTCAGCGTCAGAGTGGTGGAAAGTTGAGAAGAATCAACATACTGGAGAGAAGCGTTGGAGAATAATTTGATACAGAGGTAAAAAGAAGATGTAAATATCTTCATTCTTTGTTGTTCTAGTTTGTAAATTCCATTTTCTCTAGTTTGCTGCTTTAGTTCAATCTTCTATCTGCTTGGCTTACCTTCTTTTCTCCATTCTCACCCATTCAAGTCAATTTGTACATATCAACTAGCCTACATTTGTAATGCCTTCACCTGCTAATAATTTTAATGTTGAAGACAGTCCTCAAAAGGGATGATAGTTGGACAATCTTTTACTTTTGGATCACCTATTTCTGCTCACTTTCATATCAACAGCAGTTTATCGACTGCAATCGACTTCAATAATGAGTTTGAATAGGTTTAGGGACGTGGCTCAAAGATAATAACTGGCCAGTTTTATTGTGTATTTTTTCTAGTCGTTATACATAAATTATATACTGATTATACATATATTATACATGCGCCGGCTATTTTTAGTTTAAGTAATTGAGTGGGCTGCTGTTTAGGTTAATTCTTCAAAATACTTCTTGCTAGGGAAAATTGCTATTCATTGACTTACATCAATAAAGCACAGTTTTTAACGACTGATGTCCGATATTGGAGCAGGCTCTTGTCCATCTTTATTCTCTCCATTTCCAAAGTTCATATTTATTTTTTTGACACCACATTTAAATATCGAAGGTTCAGATTATTAGGGGCAGAAACTAATGAAAAATCAGAAAAAATTGTCTCTATATTTATTCGTTCTTTACTTTTTAAACCAAAAAAAAACTTGTTATTGCTTTTTCCCCCCAACGACTTCTGAAATGTTATTATAATTTACCATTTTACGAAATATTTCCCCCTCTTTAATCATAAAAGTGACTCCATCTTTTAAGTTACGAATTGGAAGGACTAAATGAATAGTAATATATGTGAAGATATGTAGCAAACCAAAATGTAACTTCTATCTGTAATTCTCTAATAAGAAGATGCAGAAAAGCTTTTAACTGAGGTGTTTTCTTGTATAAGTACATAGAGCCCGTTTGGATTAGCTGATTGTAAATAGCTGATAAGCTTGAAGGGCTGAAAAACATTTTTAAGTGTTGAAACTGATTTTTTAAATAAGCATTTACGTGTTTGGATAGACGTGCTGAAACTGATAATAAGCAATTGATGTGTTTGGTAAAAAAAAGTTGATAAGTAATTCTTTTATTAAAATGACTAAAATATCTTTAAAAACTTTACAAAAGATTATAAATTAAAAAGTTTTTTTGTAAAGAAAAAGATGAACAACGAATATGAAATGAAAAGAAAGTTAGAGAATTTATTTTGGGAAAAATATTTTGTGAATTAAAAAATATTATTAAGGATAAACTAGTAAAAGACTTGGTCAAACTAAAAGTGCTTATAAGCTAAAAAGTCATAAGCTGGGGGTGGCCAACTTATGACTTATGGCTGATTTTAGCTTATAGTACTTTGGGTATTTACCAAACGTGTAGATAAGCCAAAAAGTACTTATAAATCGGTTTGACTAGCTTATAAGCTTAGCCAAACACCCTCGTAGTCTATTGCCTTCTTACGTTCCCACTGGTGAGCTGGTTGCTGAATCCTTATGTGAGAATTATCATTCGATAAATAACTTCCTGCTAAAACTTCAACAATACTTGCATCGTGAATTTTTATGTACTCCCTCCGGTTCGGTGGTAGTTTATGTGAATATATTTTCCTTTTAGTCCGTTCAAAAAATAGTGACCTTTTCTAAATTTGAAAATAATTTAATTTAAATTCTCAATTCTACCCTCAGTGAGAAGCTTTTATAGTCACATATTTATAGTCACGAAAATGATAGTGGTTGTTTAGGACCACAAGTTTAAACGTTTTCATTTCTTTCTTAAACCCAATTTCCAATCAAATAAGTTCACATAAATTGAAACAGACATAATATGAGTTACTACTAACGTGAAACTTTATGGTAATCATAATGAACAAATACGTGCTCATTAATTACTTAGAGAAGTGAAGTTTCTTGTAATGACACAGCAATGTCTCCTTCACCAGTTTTTGTGGATAAATTAAGATGGGTACGGATACACCCATCAATTTTTTTAAAGACACAACTTGTCTCCTTCACCTAATTTTGTGGAAATATTAAGATGGGTACAGGTACATATATCCATCAATTTTTCTATGCAATCACTTGTCCCTATAACTGATACTTTTTGCTATTTTTATGGTGTGTTGACATAAAATGCAGCTAAATCAATTCCTAACAATGTTGACGTGGGCCAAGGGGTATATACCCATGAAAGTATACTTTTTTCATGAACTCATAACTTCATTTGTATAATGAGTTCAATACTAAAAATTTTAACGGTTGAACCCATTGGCGTATTTCGGCTTAGACATATGGATTCAGGTGAATCCATACTCCTATCTCTAAACTATGTATAATAATGTTATATTTTTTTAAAATTACTTATATATATATATATATATATATATATATATATATGTGTATGTGTGCGCGCGCGTGCGTGCGTGCGTGCGTGTACCCATGCTCAAAGACACCTATGGTGAACAATTACTGGGTGCACCTTTATAAGTAAAATTGCGGTTCAAATCCCACTTTAAACGATCTTATTTTTGGTACGGAGTATAGATATATAAGTGAAAATCACTAAAATTTTAAAAAGAATATAATTTTGAACCAATAATTTCAAAAGTATAGTGGGTTCATGGTAATAGACAATAGTTAAACCCGTCACATTTAAATTCTAAATCCACCTCTTCATAATAATGCACCCAACCTTTTAAAATTCTGAATCCATCTCTGGTTGAACCGACTAAGTTTAAATCCTGAATTCACTCGTACGCCTTTGAAATATAGATTTGGTTCGGTAAGTAAAGGTAGAAGTGGATCAACGGAGTGAAGAGTTAATGTGGTGACATTGTTTCAAGAATTATCAGAAAAGACTCTTGTTTCCTATTTCCCTTTTCATCTTTGTTTATGTATATCTATGACTAACTAGAAAAGAAACCAACAAACAATTGAGTAAAAATATAATCATAAAGTGATTTTCCCCTTAATTCCCAATCTCAGTTTTGCAAGATTAAGAATGATAGTTCATGACAATATAGGCAGAAATCAAGAAAGGTGTCTTCCACTGTGCATAATAATATATTTCTTTGTAGGCTGAGAATACATACAAGAAAGAAGAAAGATATATAATTTACATAATGGCAGAAAACAAGAAATGTTGTCTTCCACTATATGCACAATGATATTATCCTCTTTTGTAAGATGAAAATCTAATAAAAAAAAAAAAAAAAAGAGCAAGATAAAGATTGATTTATGACACATCCCACGATTAATTGAACTAATTTCTGTTTTTATTACGGGATAATTTTAATAATTTTGTCATAAGAATTGTTTTTATAATAACATTTAGGAATATATGTCAAATTTTGAAAGAGCTGAGAGTCATAGATTTGTCTCAACAAGCTAGGTGAAATTTCTACAAAACTTCAAAATTTGGCAACAATACCACTTTCAAAACTTCATGCAAGAGCTCGTACAAAATCCAGGCATCGATCTAGGAAATTTCATCCCCCATAACCCCCCGATATAACCAATGAATACGTTGGGGCAGAAGATCAAGATCAAATACCTTCATTCAAAGACAAACTCCTAGCTTACGAGATAATGGCAGATTCTGGGACAATACAACTTGAAAACAAAGAAAACCCAACTGACTCCCCACCCTCATGCTCAACCCAACCTATGGAGGAAGAAGAGATCTCTTTAGAAGATTTAACTGTACTTCATAAAAAAGGAATCAAACACATCCATCTAACCAATGAAGATCGAGATCGTATGTACTCTCCATGAAAAAATTTCCTAATTATTAAACTAATAGGGAAGCGGATACAACACCAATATCTAAAGGAGAAAATCATCAAACTTTGGAAACCTACAGAGCTATTCCCCCCTTATCGACCTAGCCATGACTACTTTGTGATAAAATTTACCTAGAAGAAAACAAGATCCAAGCCCTACAAAATGGTCCTTGGTTCATTAATGATCACTACCTATCAGTTAAACAATGGCAACCAAACTTTGTAGCAGGAAAAGAAAAACATATCCACACGGCCGTATGGGTACGCCCACCACAACTACCTACGGAATTTTGGGTGGAGTAATTCTAAGTAAAAATGGGAATTCCATTGGAAAGTTGCTAAAGGTGGATGCACGCACCGGTGCAACACTAAGAGGCCGCTATGCAAGACTATGTGTGGAGATTCCTCTAGAAAATCCTGTACAATCTAGTATTTTATTGGGTCTCACCTCCAACAACTATCATACGAAAGGGAAAATTTTCTATGCAAAAAATGTGGCCGGCTAGGACACATCAACACCTCCTGCCCATATATCCCAAAAAGCCCAGCAGCCGTGGGAATCCAACAGCTATTCGACGATCAACCTCTAACAAATGATAGGTGGCACACTGTCTCCTTCACAAAGAGAAGAAACTCCGACAAACACTACAAGACAGAAAAGCTTCACTTAGTATAGGAAGAACAAAGCCGCGATGCACCCTAATTTCCAAAACAGGTATAGACGTAAAAAAAATTGATGCAGCATCAAGTAAGTACCTTAACACTCAAAATTTTTTTTACAAATCAAAAAAATCAGATTTCAATGTTGTCCCTTCGTCTTTAGAGCCTTCTTTAATTAATTACACAAACACCTCCTCTTTCCAACATTTTGAAAACCCAAAAGCCTTGGCTCACATGTCCTCAGCATTAATGCATGCTCCCATAATTAATAACATTCATGTCTCTAATAAATTCTCCTCTTTAATGGAGGAAGACAATAATTCCTACAACTCTAACTTACTAACAGATATTTTAGTGACAAACATTCCCCAAAACCACCTCTTCGTTACACTCTAGGCAGTCCCTATCTCCAAAGAACACTCAAGCCAATCCGGGTTCGCCAAGTGGCATAGCAAAACCATGCAACACACTTAACCCTAACCTATTGACACCTATGCTAAATGCTACTACAAATCTAATTGGTCACCCAAATCTACAAAAAAAATCACAAACTTGACATACACTTGGTCGAACCCACTGGCCAAGTGTCACCGAAGACTAATCAACCAATCACCTTTAATCCTTACCCCCAAGGCACCTCAAACTACATGCAAATACAATCTTCAACAAAAGGTATTCAATCATTACCTCTAAAAACCTACTCAAGCGATACTCCCTCCTCATTTATATCAACTAACTCCACTCCTCAG